CTTGATAATATTAGCCTGAATATTTTTTTCTTTTCATCATCAGTAATTTGCTAAGACATATAGTAGACAACAATCTCAACTGTTTCAGTTGAAACAATTTCCAGTACACCAAAAAAAAAGAATGGCACATCTCATCTTTGCACCAAATCGTCAGATTTCAACATTTTTCTTTTGTTCTTTATATTTAGTTATCTATCTATTTTTTTTATTTTGTAAACTTCTAAATTTAACTGTAATCAAGAAAATAATTAATACATTTTGAGTTATTCGGAAATCTAATTGTTGCATCACCCATAACTTCTTTTTCAGCTTATTTTCGGTGAAGTATGTCATACAAATAAATTTAAGGGACTTCGAAGGAGAAAACTTTAGTCAAGTTTCATTAAAATCGGCACATTTATTTTAGCGATGCAGTCGATATCGACACAGGTTTTTCGGCCGCTGTCTTGAAAGGAAAGTGCGTGCGGATGGTAATGTCAAGGTAGGAGGATCAGCTTCAGGAAACATTTGACTTTGATTCCAAATCTCAAAAAAATTAGACAAGTAGTCTCAGAGAAAAGCTGCGGACAGCAGACAGATCATATTTTTTTTTTTATTCGATTTTTTCATTTTGAGCTCTAGATATCGCGAAATGTAAAATCTCAAAGTTTGAGAGGGATTAATGTTTAGGGTCAATTAAAATACTTCATTACAGAAAACAATAAACCAAACTATATTGAAAATCGACATCGCAGGAGAAGGTTTGATTGTAAATTATGAAAGTTTATGTTATTCTGAGTAAAAAGAACCTTGTCTACCGTTCCAGAGCCGCTGCTTTAAAAAATGGCGGCTGATTTAGAGAATATTATTAGACCAGTAACTTGAGGATCGAAATGGGAATTCCATTGCGAAAAATGTGAGAAAAGTATTTATTTTTTTAACTTGTATACATGGGTTTAGACATTTTAAAAAAAATTGCTAACGCTGACCACCAAAAAAAAACTTTACAGCCAAAAGTCAGATTTTATCTTTTCACATATAATTCCAAAAACGCTGCATCAAAGGAAAAATATATTGAGTGAGTACATAAACTTTATAATTTTGTTACGCAGTAAGGTGTAAAACCACGGTCATTGCTGATTTATCTAATTTGCCAAAAACGGAGACAAATTACTATAAATGGCTCTGCAACTTGTAAATGAGTTCCTTAAGAGGAAAAACCCATAGAATCAAAGTTGAAGAACATCACATCAAATTTTGAATATAGTGTGTATCAACTAATTTAATGTAGGTCACTTACTCCAAACAATATTGGTAATATCCCGATGGTTAGAAATTGGTGATGAAGGTAAACATGATTTTCAATATTTCAACAGTATGGGTGCCTATTCTACTGAGTTATTTTTGTTTAGAGTCTGTTACATGCAGTATAAGCCTCTTTTGCACCTCTCAGCAATAAAGGATTTTAATAAACGATGTGTTAAAGATACCGAATTTCATAAAGAAATAACGAATCCAGAAATATAATTGACATACAATAAAAATGTCAGTACTCAGTAGACACAAAATTTTATGTTCTACAGCTTTGATTCTAAGTTTTTCCTCTTAGAGAACTCATTTTCAAGTTACAGGGCTATTTACAGCAATTTGTCTCTCTTTTTGACAAATTTGGTAAAAATCAGTGTTGGTTGACTGTTTAACAAAATTATAAGGTTTTAGCATTCGTTCGACACACACAATTTAACGTTCTTCAATTTATTAAAGAATACTTTCTTCGCTTTGAAGCATTTAGGAATTATAGGTGAAAAAACAAAAATACATCGAAAAAATCTGACTTTTTTGGCTGTAAAAAGTTTTCCCTTGGTTGCCAGCATTAGCTATTTTGTTTTTTACATATCTAAACCCATATATATAAGTTAAAAAATAAAAACTTTTCCCTCATTTTTTGCGTTGGATTTCTCATTAAAAACTAACTCCCCGGTGCTACAGGCCAGCATGACCCTTGGCCTCCTGAGTTATTTTTCTCCACCTCTCTCTGTCCTGTGCTACTCTCTTCCAATTGCAAACTCCTAGCTTCTTCGCATCTCTCTCCACTTCATCCTTCCATCCATCTGCTTCTCGGTCTTCCTCTTCCCACTGAATTGTGCTTCTAATATTTTTCTCTGCACCCGTTCATTCTCCATTCTGACTACATGTCCTGCCCATCTCAGCCTACTTGCCTTGATATAGTTAGTAATGTTTTGATTCTCTAGTATAGCCTCAATGTCATTGTTACTTTTGATTTTCCACTCACCATTAACACTTGTAGCACCGTAAATCCTTCTTATTATTTTCCTTTCAAATACATTTAGTTTACGGCAATCTTCTTGCGATAAACACCAGGGTTCCACGATAGACAAGATTCTTTTTACTCAGAATAACATGAACTTTTGTAATTTACAATCAAACCTTCATCTGCGATGAGGTCGATTTTTGTGCTCTGGCTCCGGGGCTACAATGAGAAAGCCTGATTGAAGACAGAAGCTAGAACAGATTTTAAGCTTTACTTGCAGTAGTGAGATATTATGACTAAAATCGTACTACTGCAAACACCTGTATAGCCTAAAAAGCCGTGGTAGGGTTTTAATAAATAAATAAGTCAATTCTTTTCATTCTGGTATCAAATTATATCAATCAGTACAATGTTATTCTGTTTCATATGCAGAATTACTATCTCACGATGGTTTATTTTATAAAAAGAATTCTTATTACAAACTATGTTAAAGTAATTGTTACTTTGATTTTATTAGAATTCAGAAAGAAAACAAAAAAATATTCAAATTAGTTTCTTCTCTATAGTGTTATTTTGCTACAGGTATATATTTTTATTCAAATAGTGTTCAAAGGTACCTCTCTATAAATAAAGAATTGCAGAACCCAGCACACTTTGTCATAAAGAAACAAGAACTCTATGAAGTAATGTCAATTAGTCATTTTAATAAAGCTTTATAGGAACCATGATTTATAAAAGCGTTATAAAAACTTTACATTCAAAAATAAGAAAAATCCAAGTTTTTTCAAGTATTAATCATATACTTTCATACAATTGTGCACTCTGTAATATGAACCAACACATACTTGTAGCAGAATAGGATTAGTTCAAAGAAATTTTCTTCTTAAGTAATAGTTATGATGAACTTATGTATCTTATAAACAGAAAAGACACCGACATTTAAAATACTGAAACGCAATGGATTCTAATAACGAGTCGCTAAATATTAATTCAAAATTAAATTTAGCATTGTTTCAAATAGAGCATTTTCTGCATAAAAAATCTTTTATGCTCTGCTAGATTTGATTTCTTGCTCATAATGTACTAGCTGTATTTTGAATTGAATGTACCAGAGAATTCCTTACTTTAAAATTAATGGCCTGATGTTAAAAATCATGTTATTCTCTATTAAAACCTTTGATATAAGTCAGACTCTATGTTACACATGTTTGGGGTAGTGGGTGCGATCTTTTAAAATTTGATTAAATATGTTCATTAAAATTATCATTTTCTTATATGTCATATTTTAAAGAAGGTAGGAATATAAAAAACAACTAAAACAAAAAACAATTTTTTTTTTATATAAAATATAAAACAAGATAGAAAACTTCTATTATTAGATCACAATTTCAACATAGTACTTTTTGTTTACGATACAAAAGTAAGTTACATCAATTACACGGATACAATATCTCACAATGGTAAACTTTCAAAATTAAGAAAAAACAATTTTTTTTAATAATAAAACCGTATGAGTCATAAAGAAATAACACAAACGAGGAATAAAATAATAAAATTCACATTACTAGCTTTGCAAAATCCATTCTTCTTATAATAATCTAAAACAAAAACTGCTTAAAAAACTTGGAAAATGTACTTTCAACAGTTTTAGAATTCAATACCTCATTGTAGAAGAATGAAAAAAGCAGGAAAAGTAAACAGCTTTCTGAATTAGAAAACTTAAAGAAAAACAGGTTTTATTAAAAAAAAAATCAATATAAAAATTATTTATTTTTAAACAATAGTACCTTTACTAATTCTACCAATTAAATTGTTTAAACTGAAATTGATAAGCCATTCTAAACCTCAAAAATACAAAAAGAGGAACCACAAATAATCTAAACTGAAAACCAAACTGCCTTCATATTAAAAATTTTAAATGTTGTAAGTTAGAACTAAGATAAGATCATCTTAGATTGATTTTATAAACGGTTTTAATAATACATAATGTCGCATTCATGTATAAGTAATAGCCATAAATCGTTAATGTGGTTTTAATAATTTAATGCAAACTAAATATTTCAAGAAAAAGGGAGTAAAACTATAAATTATAATGAATCATAAAACGATATTTATTGAAACTGAGTTTTATATTGAGCCATTAGCAGGTATTGACAATGTCCTTATTAAGCCTTTCCTCTCTGAGGTGTACATTTACTAAACAATATACTTATTCCTTGTATAATATTTAAAACAAATTTATACATAGATCAATTATTAAACTATTATTATATAAATGATCAATCAAAATTTAAACTTTTAAATTACTGTTACTATCATCGGATATTTGAAAACTGACATAATAGTAATGAAATCGCGTAGAATATCTGCTATTAAAAGTGAAAAGATGTTAATAAAATAAAAAACATGTGCATATATTGAACGTTAGGTTGTATTAAAAAAATATATTAGTAAACTGATGTAAATGTGTCACAAGCAAATAATATTCAACAACTTCAAGAATGAAACTGAACGATACTTAATAAATGTAAAATTCTTATATTGCACTTGCAGTCGCAACAAGGAGCTGATTATATAAAATTAATAGAAATAAATAAATAAAATTAAAGGAACTCATAATACAATTAAAATGCTTTAACTAAATTCCTATCATAAACCTTTCAGTGAAGAGACGATGATTTTATAAAATAAATATGTCAATAAGAATATGTGTTGTTCAATAACATAGTAAACATATTGGACAACTTACCATTCTGGGCCAAATTTCATTGATTCTGTCATGTTTGAAGGCAGGTATTAACTGAAATACAATACAATCTGGTTTAACACATGTAACTTCTTAAAATAACAATAATGATAATAAGGTATTTCAGCTCAAGTATACATCCCACCAATTTTGACACACTAACTAAACCATACATCCCATACTTTAGATAAGAAATACTATAGTGTAGAAAAGTTAGAACCTTTAGTTTAAACTTTTTTTTAATATGCAGTGCCAGCAAATATTTAAGTTTTCGGAAACAGAACTTGTAGCTACCTATGATTCCTCTGGAAAACTTGGTAGTAAACTGATATGTATATCACAATAGATAACGAATTTGAAACTGTAGCAGTTATAGAAACTATAGAAGGCGATAACCAGTCGGATTTGACTAACAATAAAAAAAACGGTAAGTCGGTTCAAAACACTTCAACTTCTTTAATGAAAACTCGACAGAGAACAATTCCAATATGGCTGGAATCAAAGACCGCGTTCGAAAATTTAGATGATGATTGCCAACCAAAATAATACCCTTTTATATTATAATCAGAAATTTCCAGTTATTAATAATTTTGCTGAGGGTTCAGAGAACAAATTGTAACAAATTTATCCAAAAAGAAAAAAAAAATAGACCTGATTATTAAAGCTTGCGATTTGGTCTTGCTTGCACGATCGAACTTGACTGACCCTCTTAATGAGAGCGGTAACCTGCCCGATTTAAATACGAATTCGCCAGTGTACACTCCGTTGTTTCCAACATTTTTTGTCCATTTTAAATTAATTACTCACCTTTTTTAAATAATGCTTTCAGATTAAGCCATTTCTTCGTTTAATGGACGATTTGTGTTTTCTTAGTGAGCACTTTATGAGTTATACAGCATTAAATCCAATCAGAGGAGTGATAACTTATTCAATTATCTCTAACCAACATCAGTAATATCGTATATGAAGTAATGGGATAAAATCTCTCTAATATTAATTAATATTAATCACTGCCTGTTATATCGTTTGTTATTCTATTAATCAAAAAACAAAATAATACACAAAAAATTTTGTAGGATTTTCAAAAATCCTATTCCCTTTAGTTGAATCACACTTTTATTTACAACTCCATCGTACAAAGTTATTCTAAAACTACATTGAGCTGTTCTTGTAATTATTTATCATATAGCATATAAATGACTATATTTAAAGTGTACACCATTACTCCCTTCCCCCCCCCTAAAAACAAAACAAAAAAAAACAGTTATATTTTCAAATCCTCTAGAATTTTGCCTTTCAGCAAAAACCTTCAAGTTAAAATGTGCTGATAATATGATAAATTTTCTTAATATCTTCTAAAAACAATTAAATTCACATTTGGGGAGGGATTTTGTAAGGATATCATCACAAGATTTGTCAATATAAAGGACAAATATCTTTTTAAATATTGTTTTAAAAGATTCAATGAGTTGGACTTGAATGAAAATTGTGCTATTAAATCTGCTATTTAATACACTGATCTTTCAATTTCAATTCAGTGGTAAGGCAGGTCAACTGGCGCCCGGGGTATACTTTAAGATTACAACCTCTACCGCAATCACGGGCGGATCTACTGGTTGGGGGGTGCTTTGGGGCTGAAGCCCCTCCCCCCCCCCCTCCAAATGGTAAAATATAACCATAATTTATGGAGAAAAAAATATTGAAGAATTATCTCTTAAAGTATTATTGTTCATGTAATTACATTTAATAGGACTTCAAGAATCACTTAAACACCATTTCATATAGGTAGTTAGTTTCTATCTTTTCAAAGTAATTATCGTTATATATGTATGAAAATAAAGCTTCTGCGATGAAACCCTCCAAAATTAAATCCTGGATCCACTTGTTATTTCTGCCTGTCTTCCGCCTTCCTTCGATGATGTTCTTACCATCATTCGGATCGAATCGTCCTCTATCCAATCACCTCAGTCTTGGTCTTCCCAACAGTCCCTTTCCGCCTGTCCTGCCATTCATAATCTTTTTTAGTAGCCTCTTATCTTTGAACTTTTTTATTTATTTTTTTATTGTTATGTTTTTGTTCCATCACTTCATGAGCTTTTAGATTATACGGAGTTTTCACCGAGCCAAGGGAGAGGGCAGGGATTAATGCCAGAGTTAAAAGCCTCTCTCCTCGGTACAAGGACGCGAACTCTTAATTATTTTTATCATGTAACCTTTGGTTTATCAGATTGACGGAGCAACACGTATTTTGCACACGCGTTAGTCCGCTCGATCAACTCGCCCCTATTATCCTTTGAATATGGTCCAATCATCGTAACCTTCCTTCTTTGATGATGAACAAAAATTAAGCTCACCAGCTCTCTATTTGTTCCTATTTTCCAATGTCCATCCTTGTTTACTGAGCCAAATATATTTCAGAGCATATTTCTCTCCCAAACTCTCAGGATCGTCTCGCTCACCTTAGTCATCATCCAGCACTCGCTTCCATATGTCACCACCGGTCTTATTATCCCTTGTATATGGTGATTTTTATCGTTCGAGACAATGTTTGGAATTTTAGCAACTTATTAAGCGCAAAAAGGCATCTTCTATTTTGGCTTTGATCTCTGCACTTAACTGTATCTCAGATATCTAAAGCTCTTGCAGTGCTTGAATTAGTAACCATTAATTTGCACTTCTTCTTCCCGACCTGCTTGGATTCTAGACGTCCTCATATTATTCTCGAAGCCCATCTTACTTCCATTTATTCTCAAGCCTTTGCTCGCTGCTGCTACTTCAAACTCTTCCAACGCTCTTTAAATGGATGGTAATCTGCGCGCTGTGATGCCTACATCGTCTACCTACGCCATGTGGTGGGTAAGCCTGTTATAAAAAATCCTCCGGGATTGGTTCTAATTGCTATAATTGCCTTTTCGATGGATAGGTTGAATACTATGGATGACAGAGGGTCACCTTGTCACAGTTTGGCTGCCATATCAAACTCTTCTGATAGAGCTCCACCAACTCTTACCTGAGACTTTGTTTCCTTCCTCATCATTAAAATTAACCTTATCAGATTTACCTGGGCTATTAAGGACCTGATATCTCTTGCCATCATTCCCCGTCTATCGAATCCAACGCCTCCTTGAAATCTATAAAAGGTGGTATAGGCTAACGTTATGCTCGTAACATTTTTACAATAACTGTCTCAATTTTAAGATTAAATCAGTTGCGGATCTTTTTTGTCTAAAATCACACTGGTAACGCCAATAACCCTCTCAGACCATCTTACCATCCTCCGGTTAATCGCTATGGAAAGTTCCTTGTATACAGACAACGGTATTGCTATTCCACGATAGTTACCGCATGCAATCCTGTCGCCTTTCTTATATACTGGGCAAAGGATATCTTTGCTCCAGTCTCTCGGCTTACTTTCCTGAATCCATATATACAATATCAATTGGTATATTTGACTTATCATTGCCTATCCTACATATTTCAGGAATATATCCGGTATCTCGCCAGTACCTGGAACCTTGTAATTCTTCAGTGAATTTTCCAGTATTTCCTCCTGATCTGGTGTTACTTTCTCTGCATCATCCTTTTGTTCCTCATTCCATTCTCCCTGCTTTCCTCCTGCAGAACTACCAATTTCTATCCTGTTTAAATTTAATAAGTCCTGGTAATATCTTACTTCTCTTTTTAAGATCTCTTTACTATTTTCCAAAAACTTTCCTTCTTCGTTCTTTTAAAACGCAAACTTTGGTGCATATCCTGCCATTATATCTTTGAACCTCCGGTAAAACTTTAGACTATTCTTTTTATAAAATTGTCTTGTTTCTGCTCTAGTTTCTCTCTCTTCTTAGTCCTCATTTTTCTCCTACATAATTTTCTTGCCTCTGCTCTTTTCTCTGCCCTTTTTCTATACTAAGGTCTTTGTTACTCTCTTTATCAATTTCATTCTATCATCAATTCTTTCTTTGAATACTTCTTCACATTCTTTGTCATGCCAGTAGTTTATTCTTTTCTGCTGTCTCTCATCAAGGACCTTAGTTGCCACACTCTTCAATGTGTCTTTAAATAAACACCAGTTCTCTTTAATTAACTCTATTTCTTCCAAGTTCTCTAATTTTTCTCTTAAATAAATCACACGTCTTTTAAACTTTTCAGGATTAAAGATCAATTTCCTTTCTCCTGAGGCTGTTTGATATGAGGCTACTTTCATTTTATACCTAACCTTAACTAGAAAATTACTTGGCTCACAGCACCTCTGAAACTGTGAGTATCTTGTATATCTGTCGCCTGTCAACTATCGACCCACACATGATAAATCTGATTCTAGATCATTCCATCTGGGGATACCCAGGTCTCTTTATGGATATTCTTGTAAGCGAAAAAGATGACACTCACCCTCTAAGTCTATCAGGCGTATATCATTATCACTGGAGATATCATGCTTGATATATTTTCTTATAGCTGGATGAAATGCGTTCTCTTTCCATATTTTCGCGTTCCAGTCTCCTAAGACCAGCTCCACATCATTTCTCGAGATTCCAACCACAGCCCTCTCTAGGTTACCATAAAATTCATCTTCCACTTCCTCTGGTATGTCTTCTGTCGACACATACACGCTCGCCATAGATTAATTTAAAAATCTACCTTCCAGTCTTATCCTACATATTCTGTCCTTAACAACCTCTTTATCTATCTCTGCTTGTTTCAGAACATTCTTTACCATAAAACCACTCTCCAACAAATTACACAGCCACTATTGAAGATAATGTAATTATTCAGAGTCACTATATCTATATCTTTCCATCTTATTTCCTGTAGGGCTACGATATTCCTTTTATATTTCAAGAGCTCCTATTCTTACATTCTTCTCACTCCTGACTGAAATATACATCTAACGTTCCATGTTTCGATAAGTGTAAGTCCATTTCCAAGCTTAGGACCGAAAATCAGTCCAGCTATTATTTCTTTGTGTATTCGTAACGATATACTTTTTATGAGACCAGGTTGTCAGTCCAGTGCCTGACCCCCAACCAACAGAACCTATTTTTTGTCGGAGTTTACTAACTTAGTCTCTGAACTTTCGTTTTTACCCATAAGACGATGGGGATTAAACAATTCAGGAGTACAGCAATATAAAAAAGACCATTGAAAGGGATGTGTTGAATGAAGCTATGAAGTCAATGGACAGTTGTTCCTTTAGTTTAGGAGGTTGTGATGGTCGAGAGTGTAGAAGCATTGACCGTTGTAGCATTCTCGTGCCAAGCGACGTCGGTTTGAATCCGGCCTGGGAGGAGTTAACTTTTATTTCGTGGCGAACCCAAGAAATGGAACTCTGGTTAGAATAGGTTTGGTTTTATTTCTGAAACAATCTAAAAAAAATTGTCCTCTTACGACATACGATAAATACTGAGGGTCTATTCTACTCCCCAGCCCATAGAGGGAAAGTTACAAGCTGTTGTTCTCAAATCGTTCGTTGTTAATATACATAGTCAATTGCTTTAGTTCTCTGTTCTCAAGTTTCAATTTATTTTCCAATCTAGTTATTCGTTATGGTGCAGTAACTTTAAACATTATTTCAAAGCCGTTTCTTTCTTGAGTTTTGCAATAATATTGTCAATGAAGAGAAGAATAGTTGGGGTGCTCAGTCAAAAAAGGAAGGCAAAAAATAAATTATAATATTTATTTTTTACATATGCCGACGTTTCGACCTGAAGTTCAGGTCATCATCAGGGCTAAGAAAATAACCAGATAACAAGGTATGAGAAACTTAAGTAATGATGGTAAAACAGATAATAAAAAATGAGAAAATAAAATAGATTAGATCTAGATAAAATAGATCTAAATAAAAGAAAAATAAAATAGATAGATATAAAGTAAAATGAAATTGTTAGAATAATGACTAAGAACTAAGAGATAAATAATACAGACTGTTACATAGTGTGGAATGATGAAGTAGGCATAATCAAAAAGGGGGTGACAAAAGTGTTACATTGGGAATCTTAGAATAAAATGTAAAAACATAAAA